ACTATCTATTGTATCTTGTATAACCACCTGAGTGTAGCAAATCACCTCTTAATTTTCTATTTGCAAACTAATTTAAGGCTAGCTACTATTAGTTATAGAGGAGGAAAGAGGGGGCCCAACTAATTATTTATATAAAATATACTTTTATTTTATAAAATATTGGGATTTTTAAATTTGAAATTCAATTTTTCAAAAATATAGCACCCAAAAATTAAATAACAACCAATTAGAAGATTGTCAATTTAGCTTTGCAAATTGGATTCAAGTATGTGACTTTGTTATATAAAAAACTTATAACAATATTTATTAAATAAATCAAAATCTAGAATTAAAATTTCATATAATACAATAACTAATTACATTTATTTAAAAGCTCAAACTACCTATTAGAAGACTGGTTTTTCAAGACTATATTATAGATACTATTTATATATAAGAAGTAAATAAGTGTTATTTTAAAATCTTAAAGACTATTTTGGAAAAATACAATTTTTTAAATAATGCTCTTGCATATTATTTTACAAAAATATACAGTAGTTGACTAAATTTTTATATAGTTTTTTAATTTTTAAAATTTTCTTGAAAAGGCATTTTATTTGTTTAAGTATTAAAATTATGATTTCGGATTATTTAACTTTTAAATTAGTTAGATCATAAGTTTATAAAACTATGTATAAACCTATGAGTTTGTTCTTACCTTTGAAGATTAAAAAAAAAAAAAACCTATGAGTTTGTAATAGCTATCCAAAAAATCAATATCTCGAAATAACGCTCATGCCTATATTCTAATTAATGCATATACATTCAAATAGGCGTTATTTCGCGAAATACAGTACTAATTTAGATTAATAAAAAAAAATCTGACTGCCTGACCAAAATTTCGAATCCATGAAATGCAAAATGAAAAAATTAACTTTGTATGATAGTAGTATATTGTTACATTGTCTAATAATTACTGAGTGGCGAAACCAAACTTTATATGAGTGCGCACTATTTTGAGACATGCATGGGCGTTTTTTAAAACAAAGTATGCTATTTTTAGAGGGCGAAATTTTGTAAATAACGCGCAGATGAGCGTTAATATGCGAAAATACGATGCAATTAATCTATTACACTCTTAACTATCTTTAACTTATATAAAAATAGCTTATTTTATTAAAATAAAAAATGGTAAGTAATTGAGATACTTAGTTTCAGAGATTATCTCTTCTACTTGTCCCAACCACCATGTTGAGGTGTATTTCATTGGCTGGGAAGGTATAATAGGAATGGATTTTATTAAAAGCGCACTGAGAACATCCCGTAATTATATTCAGTTTATTTCTCCTACATCTTTCAGACAGGAGTAGGTTGTTTTACGAAGCTTTGCTTGGTTTTTTAACAAAAACCTCTACTTCAAATGTTTTTTGACTGCTTAAATTAATGATGTGACATAACCAGTTTTTTCTTCACCAGATTAAAACAGAAAAGATGCAAAAAAACGCGCTAGTTACTCCATTTTAGATTCTTGATTATCATCATCGATTTTTTCTGTACGCTTACTTATTTGCGCCGGTGATACAACCAAAAAAGGAAAAACAAAAATACAAATAACGCATGAGAGTCACGATGTTAGGGTTAGGAGTAAGGCATAGTATATACTAAAATTTTGCAAGGAATTTTTTTTATTAGAACGTTAAAGGCAAAATTTTGAGTTACCGGCTATTTTTTGAAAAAGCCTTCGTTTTTACACCAAAGGTTACACAGATCTTGCGATCTACATAAGAAAATTTCCTTATTTGGTTTGTATCACGGGCGCAAATAAGTGCACAATAATCGTACGATTCGTGAAGTTAAGCGCAGTAAGCGCAGAATTACTTAAACGGACCAATCATTCTTAAGTTACAGGTCGTACATTAAATACTTTTATTTGCGGATTCAAAATTCCATGAATGTATACTGCGGACCGCAGAAAGAAAATTTGAATATAAACACAAAAAATAAAAGCTGAAAGAAAAATAAATTTTGATATTCTTCTAAAAGATTTTATTCTCGTTGGGTTGATTAATCTGATTTATTATTAATTTATGAAGAGTCAATTAAACATTTATCTCTAATTGAATTATTTATCTATAATTAATTCGCGAGATTGGTCTTGAAAAATCTTATAAATCATTTATTTCTAATTAAATTATTTATCTATAATTAATCCGCGAGATTGGTCTTGAAATCTTTTATATTCTTGAGATTTTTAACGATCTAAAAAAAAAAACAATCGAAAAAGATGCAAAATTATTCTGGATTAATCTGTATTTCTAATGCCTTTGGCTACAAGCCCATTCCTTTGAAAAATATTAATGTTGAAGCTAACGGTTTGTAATTAAATTTCCAGTTAATCTGTTATATTTTTTTTGAAAGGACCAATTATCGATTCATTTTGCTAATTTTATCACTATACCATCTATGTTTAACCCTAAGTGGTGGATATGATTGCTGAAGGTAAATTTCACAAGAATTACTTGTGCATTATTTTTAATCAATCAATAATAGCGTCTTTTTAATTTTATCCGCAGTCGTCATTTCTCAAACTTATACAAATGTCGAAAACGATACAATTGAAGCGATTTATAAATTTCCAACACACGAATCTGCGGCTATATGCGCCTTTGAGGCTGAAATTGATGGTAAAAAAGTCAAAGGTATTGTTAAAGAAACACAGGAGGCCGTAAAAGAATACAATACTGCTATTCAGGTGATTTATTTTATACTTAAGCTTTGGCATTAATTTTGCATATTTAATAATAAGCTTTCTTTGTATAGGAAGGACATGGCGCTTTTCTATTGAATGGACAACTTCCAGATGTATTCGAATGTATGGTCGGAAACATTCTTCCAAAACAGACTGTAATCATCAATATTACCTATGTTGTAAGTAAATAATTTGTAACTTTAAGAAATAATTACTTATGTAATAAGTAAATAATCCGTAACTTTAGGAAATTTTATTAAAGGTTCATATTAATCTTTTTAATACATTCAGACTGAACTTAAACATGACTCAGAAACTGAAAAAATTCGTTTTGTAATTCCCACTTCAATTGCTCCGAGATATGGAAGCTATGGACCATCAGAAATTTCTTCTTTCGCAAGCAATTTACCCCTTGTCAACACTGTTAATCCAACTAGTAACTTATCAATTTCTGTTACGTGTCGAATGACATCCGTCATTACAAGTATTGAATCACCATCCCATTATATATCAACTGAATTAAATATTGATGGGGACCCAAAAATTTCTAGAATTACTTTGAATGAGCAGACAACTTATTTGGAAAAAGATTTCGTATTGGTCGTTAAGAGTCAAGGTCTTGATCAACCAAGGTAATTTAATGTTATTTATACGTATTAATATGTTAATCTTTTTTCATGAAATTTTATTAAATCTTTTTTATTTAAATTTTATTTTAGAGCATTTATTGAATATAATCCAGTGACCGAGACGAATTGTGCTATGTTAACTTTGGTTCCAAAATTTGCTATTAATCCAACTTTGACTGAATTGATATTTGTTGTTGATAGGTAAAGCTATCAAGTATATTATTATTATTATTATTATTATTTAAAACATATATTTATATATATTTTATTACTATTTGTAGATCTGGCTCTATGGTGGAAGCTCCTATCCGAAAGGCCGCTCAAGCACTTGAATTATTCCTACGATCACTCCCAGAAGATTCATTTTTCAATGTTGTATCATTTGGTAGTCATTACGACTCACTTTTTCCGAAAAGTCAACCTAATTCTCAATCGGCGATCTCAGCCGCCCTTTCGCTTGCTCAAAATATGACAGCGAATTATAATGGAACAGAAATGTATCAATGTTTGAAATGGGTCCTTGAAAATAAGAGAAATGATATGCCAACCGCCGTAATTCTTCTTACAGATGGTAGTGTTTGGAATGTAGATCAAATTGCCGAATTGGTTCGATCAAAGGTAGAAGAAAGCAATGACCTTCGTTTATTCTCTTTGGGGATCGGAAGGAATGTAGCTCATAATTTAGTAGAAGCTGTCGCACGCGCTGGAAAAGGATACGCACAATTCGTAACTGACTGTAATAACGATGGATTTGAAAAAAAAATTATTGGATTTTTGAAAAATTCAATCAGACCTCCAATTAAAGATTATAAAGTCGAATGGACTGAAAATGGTGTCATAGAAGTCGAGGATGATGAACCTTCAAAAAACATTTTAGAGAGACCAATTATCAGCTTTTTTAATGAAGGTGATGAATCTCTTCCTCAGCTACCACCAGAAGATGATTTTATTTCGAGATTACAATTCCTACAAGCACCGTACGATATTCCACCAATTTATCGAGGAGTTCGTTTAATAGTTTATTGCATACTTGCAAAGGGGGTTGAACCTAGGAAGAGTATTACACTTTCTGCGATGTCTCAGGATGGTTCAATGAGGTTGGAAATTCCGATTGATCCCGTCACATTGCAAGGAACTAAGATACATACACTTGCAGCGCGTAAACTTATTCAAAATCTTGAAGATGGAACTTCATTTCTTCATAAACATCAGAAATATCGAGGAAAACAAGTTCCTAATTCTATTGTTCGTAATCAGATCGTTGCTTTAGGTAAAACATATAATTTGGCATCACGTTTTACTAGGTAAGGCATTTAAATTTTAATGAAAATTGATATGATATGATTTGATTTTCAACATTAATGACTTTAAATATTATAGTTTTATAGCGATTGACGAACGAGATGTAGATATGACTAAAGAACAAGGTCATAAACCATTACAAATGGTGGTGCCAAACTATACCCCACCTAATTATCAAAAGGTTGGATTTGGAAGTAACCAATCCAATTATTCTGTGTTTTCCCAACAAAATCCTCAGACTATTGGATTTGGCCAAATCCCAGGCCATATGTCATTTAATAGTTCTTCGATTAATAAATCTGCTTTTGGAGCTCAACCGTGTCTATCTCAATTTGGTGGATTCGCAGTTCCAACTAGTACACAACCTCAAGCATGTTCAGGGATACGATTTGGTGGATTCAATAAAGAAGTTAATACACAAAATTCACCAAATTTATCTCGATTTGGTGGATTTGCAGTTACACAATCTTCGAATAATGGTGGATTTGGATTTGGATCAGCAACTCAAACAGCCAGTCAATCACTATTTGGACAAAATACGTCGAATAGTGGTGGATTTGGATTTGGATCAG